GCAACGAGATGTTGTGGACTAGCAACAAGATGTGGTCTAGCAACGAGATGTTGTCTAGCAACGAGATGTTGTGGTCTAGCAACGAGATGTTGTGGTCTAGCAACGAGATGTTGTTGTCTAGCAACGAGATGTTGTGGTCTAGCAACGAGATGTTGTTGTCTAGCAACGAGATGTTGTTGTCTAGCAACGAGATGTTGTTGTCTAGCAACGAGATGGTGTGGTATAGCAACGAGATGTTGTTGTCTAGCAACGAGATGTTGTGGTCTAGCAACGAGATGTTGTTGTCTAGCAACGAGATGTTGTGGCCTAGCAACAAGATGTGGTCTAGCAACGAGATGTTGTGGTCTAGCAACGAGATGTTGTGGTCTAGCAACGAGATGTTGAGGTCTAGCAACGAGATGCTGTGGTCTAGCAACGAGATGTTGTGATCTAGCAACGAGATGTTGTGGTCTAGCAACAAGATGTGGTCTAGCAACGAGATGTTGTGGTCTAGCAACGAGATGTTGTGGTCTAGCAACGAGATGTTGTGGTCTAGAAACGAGATGTTGTGGTCTAGCAACGAGATGTTGTGGTATAGCAACGAGATGTTGTGGTCTAGAAACGATATGTTGTGGTCTAGCAACGAGATGTTGTGGTCTAGCAACGAGATGTTGTGGTCTAGCAACGAGATGTTGTGGTCTAGCAACAAGATGTGGTCTAGCAACGAGATGTTGTTGTCTAGCAACTAGATGTTGTGGTCTAGCAACTAGATGTTGTGGTATAGCAACGAGATGTTGTGGTCTAGCAACGAGATGTTGTGGTCTAGCAACTAGATGTTGTGGTCTAGCAACTAGATGTTGTCTAGCAACGAGATGTTGTGTTCTAGCAACGAGATGTTGTGGTCTAGCAACACGATGTTGTGGTCTAGCAACAAGATGTGGTCTAGCAACGAGATGTTGTGGTCTAGCAACTAGATGTTGTGGTCTAGCAACACGATGTTGTGGTCTAGCAACGAGATATTGTGGTCTAGCAACGAGATGTTGTGGTCTAGCAACTAGATGTTGTGGTCTAGCAACTAGATGTTGTGGTCTAGCAACACGATGCTGTGGTCTAGCAACGAGATGTTGTGGTCTAGCAACACGATGTTGTGGTCTAGCAACGAGATATTGTGGTCTAGCAACGAGATGTTGTGGTCTAGCAACGAGATATTGTGGTCTAGCAACTAGATGTTGTGGTCTAGCAACACGATGTTGTGGTCTAGCAACGAGAAATTGTGGTCTAGCAACTAGATGTTGTGGTCTAGCAACGAGATGTTGTGGTATAGCAACGAGATGTTGTGGTATAGCAACGAGATATTGTGGTCTAGCAACGAGATGTTGTGGTCTAGCAACTAGATGTTGTGGTCTAGCAACGAGATGTTGTTGTCTAGCAACGAGATGTTGTGGTCTAGCAACGAGATGTTGTTGTCTAGCAACGAGATGTTGTTGTCTAGCAACGAGATGTTGTGGTCTAGCAACGAGATGTTGTTGTCTAGCAACGAGATGTTGTTGTCTAGCAACGAGATGTTGTGGTATAGCAACGAAATGTTGTGGTCTAGCAACGAGATGTTGTGATCTAGCAACGAGATGTTGTGGTCTAGCAACGAGATGTTGTGGTCTAGCAACGAGATGTTGTGGTCTAGCAACAAGATGTGGTCTAGCAACGAGATGTTGTTGTCTAGCAACGAGATGTTGTGGTATAGCAACGAGATGTTGTTGTCTAGCAACGAGATGTTGTTGTCTAGCAACGAGATGTTGTGGTCTAGCAACGAGATGTTGTGGTCTAGCAACAAGATGTGGTATAGCAACGAGATGTTGTTGTCTAGCAACGAGATGTTGTGGTCTAGCAACGAGATGTTGTGGTCTAGCAACGAGATGTTGTGGTCTAGCAACGAGATGTTGTTGTCTAGCAACGAGATGTTGTGGTATAGCAACGAGATGTTGTTGTCTAGCAACGAGATGTTGTGGTCTAGCAACGAGATGTTGTTGTCTAGCAACGAGATGTTGTGGTATAGCAACGAGATGTTGTGGTCTAGCAACGAGATGTTGTGGTCTAGCAACGAGATGTTGTTGTCTAGCAACGAGATGTTGTGGTATAGCAACGAGATGTTGTGGTCTAGCAACGAGATGTTGTTGTCTAGCAACAAGATGTGGTATAGCAACGAGATGTTGTTGTCTAGCAACGAGATGTTGTGGTCTAGCAACGAGATGTTGTGGTCTAGCAACGAGATGTTGTGGTATAGCAACGAGATGTTGTTGTCTAGCAACGAGATGTTGTGGTATAGCAACGAGATGTTGTGGTATAGCAACGAGATGTTGTGGTCTAGCAACAAGATGTTGTGGTCTAGCAACAAGATGTTGTGGTCTAGCAACAAGATGTTGTGGTCTAGCAACGAGATGTTGTGGTCTAGCAACAAGATGTTGTGGTCTAGCAACTAGATGTTGTGGTCTAGCAACAAGATGTTGTTGTCTAGCAACGAGATGTTGTTGTCTAGCAACTAGATGTTGTTGTCTAGCAACGAGATGTTGTTGTCTAGCAACGAGATGTTGTGGTATAGCAACGAGATGTTGTGGTATAGCAACGAGATGTTGTGGTCTAGCAACAAGATGTTGTGGTCTAGCAACGAGATGTTGTGGTCTAGCAACTAGATGTTGTGGTCTAGCAACAAGATGTTGTTGTCTAGCAACGAGATGTTGTTGTCTAGCAACTAGATGTTGTGGTCTAGCAACGAGATGTTGTTGTCTAGCAACTAGATGTTGTTGTCTAGCAACAAGATGTTGTGGTCTAGCAACGAGATGTTGTGGTCTAGCAACAAGATGTTGTGGTCTAGCAACAAGATGTTGTTGTCTAGCAACAAGATGTTGTGGTCTAGCAACGAGATGTTGTGGTCTAGCAACAAGATGTTGTGGTCTAGCAACAAGATGTTGTTGTCTAGCAACAAGATGTTGTTGTCTAGCAACAAGATGTTGTTGTCTAGCAACAAGATGTTGTTGTCTAGCAACAAGATGTTGTGGTCTAGCAACGAGATGTTGTGGTCTAGCAACAAGATGTTGTGGTCTAGCAACAAGATGTTGTGGTCTAGCAACGAGATGTTGTTGTCTAGCAACAAGATGTTGTGGTCTAGCAACAAGATGTTGTTGTCTAGCAACAAGATGTTGTTGTCTAGCAACAGATGTTGTGGTCTAGCAACGAGATGTGTGGTCTAGCAAAAAGATGTTGTGGTCTAGCAACAAGATGTTGTGGTCTAGCAACAAGATGTTGTGGTCTAGCAACAAGATGTTGTGGTCTAGCAACTAGATGTTGTGGTCTAGCAACAAGATGTTGTGGTCTAGCAACAAGATGTTGTGGTCTAGCAACAAGATGTTGTGGTCTAGCAACAAGATGTTGTTGTCTAGCAACAAGATGTTGTTGTCTAGCAACAAGATGTTGTTGTCTAGCAACAAGATGTTGTGGTCTAGCAACAAGATGTTGTTGTCTAGCAACAAGATGTTGTTGTCTAGCAACAAGATGTTGTGGTCTAGCAACAAGATGTTGTGGTCTAGCAACAAGATGTTGTTGTCTAGCAACAAGATGTTGTTGTCTAGCAACAAGATGTTGTTGTCTAGCACCAAGATGTTGTGGTCTAGCAACAAGATGTTGTGGTCTAGCAACAAGATGTTGTGGTCTAGCAACAAGATGTTGTGGTCTAGCAAAAAGTGCTTTTCTTAGATCAACATTAAGATCCCTTGCATATTCACAATTTTTAAGTGCTGAATAAAACATGGTCAGACATCTTAATGATAACACCAATAATAATTTTTTTCTGGCCTGAGGTCAAACTGGCAAGGAATAAGAATATTGTTTAGTAATAAATACTTACATATTTTTTATCTATCTTCAAATATTTTAAACAGTAAAGATAAGTTAGATTTTTGTCTTCTTGTTACTTCAGTTAGGTCTCCGTCTTTATGTACTGCAGTGACAGGATGTAACTTAAGGGGCACGTAAGTTCCGCCATCTTGTGTTGCAGACCTTGTGTTGCAGACCTTGTGTTGCAGACCTTGTGTTGAAGACCTTGTGTTGCAGACCTTGTGTTGCAGACCTTGTGTTGAAGACCTTGTGTTGCAGACCTTGTGTTGCAGACCTTGTGTTGCAGACCTTGTGTTGCAGACCTTGTGTTGCAGACCTTGTGTTGCAGACATTGTGTTGCAGACCTTGTGTTGCAGACCTTGTGTTGCAGACCTTGTGTTGAAGACCTTGTGTTGCAGACCTTGTGTTGCAGACCTTGTGTTGCAGACCTTGTGTTGCAGACCTTGTGTTGCAGACCTTGTGTTGCAGACCTTGTGTTGCAGACATTGTGTTGCAGACCTTGTGTTGCAGACATTGTGTTGCAGACCTTGTGTTGAAGACCTTGTGTTGCAGACCTTGTGTTGCAGACCTTGTGTTGCAGACCTTGTGTTGCAGACCTTGTGTTGCAGACCTCTGCAACACAAGGTATCCCCGTCTCCTATAACCTTAGCCTCCCTCTACCTTAATGATACGAGACAGGTATCCCCGTGTCCTATAACCTTAGCCCTCTCTACCTTAATACGAGACAGGTATCCCCGTGTCCTATAACCTCAGCCCTCTCTACCTTAACGATACGAGACAGGTATCCCCGTCTCCTATAACCTTAGCCCACTCTACCTTAATGATACGAGACAGGTATCCCCGTGTCCTATAACCTCAGCCCTCTCTACCTTAAAGATACGAAACAGGTATCCCCGTGTCCTATAACCTTAGCCTCCCTCTACCTTAATGATACGAGACAGGTATCCCCGTGTCCTATAACCTTAGCCTCCCTCTACCTTAATGATACGAGACAGGTATCCCCGTGTCCTACAACCTCAACCCCCTCTACCTTAATGATACGAAAAAAAATATCACCGCAAACCTAACCCACTCTACCTCAATCATGCAAAAGGATTAGTACAGAGTGCGGCGGTAAAAGTTACCATTAAAGGTTAAAATTCAATCATAAGAGGCATTCGCAAGTCATCACATGGAAACTGATATCCCATTTTCTTAAAGTAATGCTTAATGGGCGCCTACTCAAGGACACATAAGTTTTAATGCTAATCAGAAGAGGTTGTCTCTAGTTATCTAGCGTGTATAAATATTTTAAAACGTAAGAGCACTTTAAGTTTGAAGCCACTCGGGAGTTGCATTCTCGAGTTATCGGCGTTGAAGGTGTGAAGTTGATCAGAGGAGGCGATCAGTCCCTCAGCCAGGTTGAGGGACTGATCACCTCAAACTCCTCATCTTCCATCGTTCTCTGCATTGGACTGAAGAAGCCACTGGCTGGCGGAATGTTTCCAGAATAAAGATACCCGAATATTGGATAAGTGTCTCACTTATCATAAAATTAGGTAGATTTTGTTCCCAGGATGCGACCCACACCAGTCCCCTAACACCCAGGTACCTATTTTACTGATGGGTGAGCATGGGAAACAGGTGTCTTATGTAAACACGTTCTAATTAAATAACATATGCAGAGACGTGCCACACTGTGCAATTAAATACCATATGCAGAGACGTGCCACACTGTGCAATTAAATACCATATACAGAGACGTGCCACACTGTGCAATTAAATACCATATGCAGAGACGTGCCACACTGTGCAATTAAATACCATATGCAGAGACGTGCCACACTGTGCAATTAAATACCATATACAGAGACGTGCCACACTGTGCAATTTAAATACCATATGCAGAGACGTGCCACACTGTGCAATTAAATACCACATGCAGAGACGTGCCACACTGTGCAATTAAATACCACATGCAGAGACGTGCCACACTGTGCAATTAAATACCATATGCAGAGACGTGCCACACTGTGCAATTAAATACCACATGCAGAGACGTGCCACACTGTGCAATTAAATACCACATGCAGAGACGTGCCACACTGTGCAATTAAATACCACATGCAGAGACGTGCCAAACTGTGCAATTAAATACCACATGCAGAGACGTGCCACACTGTGCAATTAAATACCACATGCAGAGACGTGCCACATTGTGCAATTAAATACCACATGCAGAGACGTGCCACACTGTGCAATTAAATCCCACATGCAGAGACGTGCCACACTGTGCAATTAAATACCATATGCAGAGACGTGCCACACTGTGCAATTGATTCTAGACTAAAAATGGCGCCACTACAACGTACCCAATTTTGCCGACCTTGCTCAACCAGTCTAGAATAGCACAGTCTTATAGTGACTTTGTTGATGCGTTTTAACCCCGACGCTGATTCTTTATCTGTAGTTTTTTCCTGTCCCCTACCTGTTCATCATCTATCCTCGCTCCCCTCTCGCCTCTTGTGGGTCCTGACCTGTGAGTTCTTCAGGTGTGATGTTATACACTAGTGGTGCAGACATTGGCGAGAAACGTGCAAATGCAGAGTTCTTCTTTTGTGCAACGTTTCACCCAACACAGGGGTTTCTCCAGTGCTTCATGATGTCAAGACTGAGGGACTGACCACCTCAATGGACTGCTTACATCATCTCTACAACTCTGCTGCTTCAGCTGCGACTGAAGAAGTTGTGGAAAAAGGCACTTGTGTGCACTTCAGGACGTTTATTATACGAAACGTTTCGCCACGAGTGTCTTCTTCAGTCCTAAGGACTGAAGAAGTCTGCTGTGCAGGCGAAACGTTTCAGAATAAAGATACCTAACTCTTACACATGCGTCTTATTTATCAACTTGCCAGTAATAAGAACATAAGAATGTAGGAACACTGCAGAAGGCCTACTGGCCCATACGAGGCAGGTCCTTATAATATATACCATTATCATATTCTCCTGTCTCAGGTGAAATACTGTGTATATAAAGATAGTCTCTGCATTTCTGACGATACTTAACACACGGCTGCACTTCGAAACGAGCTGAGCGAAGATAATAATTATTAGAATGCAAACTAAACTGTGGAAAACAATAAAAAACAATAACAGTTACGATAATCATAACAAATGTAACCTAATTATTGTACGGGCATGCACGGGAAGGCGCCCATCCCGGGCAGGTTCGTCTCAAATACAACCTACCCAACATTCTCCACTTGACTCTCCACACTACATATTCTCACGTACTCTTTACCCAGGTAGATCTGTTTGTGACTTGATAAAGCTCACTGTGTGGGCGAAACGTTGTCAATAAAGGATTGCATTATGCTAAATCTGTGTTTATTTTCCCCTCACTTGTCTATTTACTATTCCCTACAAAGCTCAGTCACTGAAATAACCTTTCTGGACGCGTAAGAACCAGGTTATAGAAACTCAACCCATTAAATCTATTTATAGGACTTGAGGTAGATCACAGCTGCTCGTCGAGGCCTTGGAATATATAAACCTTCATTATATATATATAAATATATATTGTTGCTTTGCAACTTTGCATAGCTCCTGATGACGCACCGAGAATTGTGAAAGTACTTCAGATAAATATTTCCACCTTTCCCCCGTAGCTTGTCTTGCATAGTTAAGATCCTCTGTCTGCAACTGTTTCCTATATATATATATATATATATATTTTATATATATTTTTATATATATATATATATAATATTTATATATATATATTTTAAAATATAATATTATATATATATATATATATATATATGTCGTGCCGAATATGTAAAACTGGTCAATTAGCAAGAACTCATTTAAAATTAAAACCTTTCTAAAATTTTCTCTTATACGCTTAAAGATATTATTTTTTTCATTAATGTTAATGTAAAAATTTTTAATTTTGCACCAAAAGAATCTTAGAAAACTTACCTAACCTTATTATAACAAGATCAATTTATTTTAGCCTAACCCAACTAAATATATTTTAGATTTGTTTACAATAATTTAATACTAAACAAACACAGTGAAATATATTTTTTTTCATTAGGTTCAGAATGATCTTTGGCAAAATTATTGCATACACAAATTTTCACTTGTCCTATATGGCAAGATGAGCGTTGCTATTTAAGCCAAGATCGCAAGTTCTGCCTATTCGGCACGACATATGTACTATATATATATATATATATATATATATATATATATATATATATATATTTATATATATATATATATATAATATATATAATATATATATATATATATATATATATTTATATATATATATTTATATATATATATATATATATATATATATATTATATATATATATATATTATATAATATATTAAAGGTTGAGGTGCTAGCCTCGCTTGTTCGATGTAACAAGAAGTGTCCTGCTTCCTGAGATACTTAGTATCAATACCTAGGGAGGCGAGAGTGGTCTTAGCTTGGAGGATTACCTTGTAGTGTGGTCGTGGTTGTCGAGTCAGGATCCAAGCAATTCCTGAGGGAATTTGAATAAATAGTTTAGAAAACCGACAATCTGATAAATGAGACATTTGTGCGACAAGGGGGTATCTTTATTCTGGAAATGTTTTACAAGCTAGTGGCTTCTTCAGTCCACTGCAGAGATGATGGAGTTTTAGGTTATCATTCCCTCAGTCTGGAGTCGATGTGTTTAGTTCATTAATTTCAAGTTTGATAGACTGTACACAATGACTCCAGACTCAGGGACTGATTACCTCACACTCCTCTTCACCTTCCATCGTTCTTCTCTATACCGGACTGAAGAAGCCATTGGCTGGCGAAACGTTTCCCCAATCAAGATTCTCAATGCTGCACAAGTTCCTCACTTATCGATTTCTGAGAGATGTGTGGAAGCTGTCATAGTGAGAGACGTGCGTTACTGGTTCATAACACATCACGACTTTATACATGGCTCTCTCTCTCTCTCTCCTCTCTCTCTCTCTCTCTCTCTCTCTCTCTCTCTCTCTCTCTCTCTCTCTCTCTCACCTCTCTCTCTCTCTCTCTCTCTCACTCTCACTCTCACTCACTCTCACTCTCACTCTCTCTCTCTCTCTCTCTCTCTCTCTCTCTCTCTCTCTCTCTCTCTCTCTCTCACTCTCTCTCTCTCTCTCTCACTCTCTCTCTCTCTCTCTCACTCTCTCTCTCAATCAATAAGAACATAAGAATGGAGGAGCATTGCATAAGGCCCTGACCCGTGCTAGGTATGTTAAAGTTAAGTCAATAACACCAGTGGAAATAAGTCACGAACAACCCCAGTGTATGTACTTATATTAACTGTACATATACTCAGTGTACTTATACTCAGTGTACTTATACTCAGTGTACTTATACTTAGTGTATTCATACTCAGTGCACTTATACTCAGTGTACTCATACTCAGTGTACTCAATTGTGGTAGCAGGGGTAGAGTCTCAGAAAAGCATGAGAAGTGGGAGGGGGAGGGAACTGGTGGAACGGGAGTAGGTAGCAGTAGTAGTAGAAGCAGTCGTAGTAGTCGTAGTAGTAGTAGTAGTAGTAGTAGTAGTAGTAGTAGTAGCAGTAGTAGTAGTAGTAGCAGTAGTTATAGTAGTAGTAGCAGTAGTTATAGTAGTAGTGCAGTAGTAGTAGTAGTAGTAGTAGTAGTAGTAGTAGTAGTAGTAGTAGTAGTAGTAGTAGTAGTAGTAGCAGCAGTTGTAGCAGTAGTAGTAGTAGTAGTAGCAGTTGTAGCAATAGTAAGAGAGGTGAAAATAAGAAGACAATAGTAGCAGTGGAAAAGAGGTCAGAGAGTGGAGTGTTAGCGTAGTAGTAGTAGTAGTAGAAGTAGCAATGGACGTAGTCTACAAGAACAGAGAAGCACTGTTCCTGTATTGCACTGCTACTCTATTCACTGTTCCTGCATTGCACTGCTACTCTGTTCACTCTGACTGTCACTTTAGTATCCTCTAAAGTATGATCTGAGTTATCAATTTTCAATTCACTTATTCATAGTTTGGCCAAATGCTGTTATTGCATTCTATTTCACATCTTGTGTACTTATTTATCTTTTCCTAACATAAATATTGCCTACAACCAATTATTTTTTCAATTAGAGGGAAGGGGGGATCCATTAACATTTACACCTGACACTACAAACTTACCTGCTAAGTTTTCTTCAGCATTCTCTCCTCTTCAACATTCTCTCTGACTTTAGCAACAATTATTCTCTCGTCAGAACTCCCTAAACATTCGTTTAACATCTCCCAAAACCTCTCTCTCTCTCTTTCTCTCCTCTACACTCCAAAAATATATTTTTTAATATCAAAGTTACCAAAGAATTACTTACGGTAGCTGCTGAATCCATTCAGAATTGTCTGATATGGCTTCGGCATCATGGCCTGGGATCAATTTTATCTGGGTGGAGACAATTCAGAAAGTCTCCTAACACCAACTGTCCCTGTGTACCAAGCAGTAAATAGGTTCCTGGGTGTTAGCTTACTATTGTGACTAGCATCACTATGTACTAAGCATTAGATACGTACCTCAGTCTTAACTGACTTTTATGTCAGGTATCCTGGAAGTAGATAGTACCCAGGTTTTTATTTAGATAATCAGTACTTATAATTGATAAAGTTATTTGTTTTGTAATGGTAACGAGAGCTAGTTCTGTTATGCCTTTCATTACGTAGATTTATTCTAGGATGCCCCAGTAAAGTTAAGATACATGACTTATTTCCACTGGGGTACCTAAGATACGATTGGCCTTTGAATTGAGCTGGGACAAGATACCACCTCTTAACCTGTAAACTCAAAGGCTTAAAAAAGGTATTAGCTAAGATTCTATCCTCAAAAGTAATCACTACTTACGAGTGTGCCCGAAAGGTTGTCTCTCCGAGCAGGTATATTCTAGGGTCCAGTTGTCGTAATCAGTGGCAAGTACTTCGTAATTATCTTCGAAGCCTGGCACACCTGGGAGAGTGTATGTGAGGTGGTTGGGCGCTCTGTATGGTCTCTTCTGAATCACCCCGACACTTATCATGTTAGGACGGCTGAACCTGGTGCAGAGAACCTTGTTAGAGAACCGTATTGAGCGAAACGACGTATAACGAAACCAATTTTACCATAGGCCAATTAATATAAACAAGAGTTAAGTTGCTGGGTCAAGGGAGAGCTGAGACGAAGAGCAGTTGTGCTGCAGACACTCTAGGGCGCTATTATTGACATTTTTATTATTTTAGGCATCACATATTTTTCAGAATTATATAAGAAACCCGCTACATATCATTAAAACCAAATATCAACAACCATAAGGAAGGAAATTGACATTAGCGAACATGGACGGTTACGCTGATGCATGTCCTCCATCCAGATATTTAAGTCTTTCCACATTTTATATTCCTTCCTGGCAATTAATTTCTTTTTCTTGTCAACGTTATAATGAAACGACGTTGAACAAAGAGACGTTAAGTGAGGACTTCCAGTACATATTTCAGACATATTAATATAAGAGATGAGAGGTAGTGTGTACATTAGGCAGAGAGCCAGGTGTCTCCTGACCCTGTGATGTTCTGTCACAGAATCACGTGTGACTAGATCGTACACAGGACTTAAAATCATAGGATCAAATCTTAGCTTAGTTGATATTACAATCATGGGGGTGAGGGGAAGGTCCTAAACTCGCACCTAGAGGTAGGAGGATGCAATATAACCACGAACGAGTGGTGTTGATCAATAACAACACTGCAACTAGCCAAGGAGTCGAACCCATGCTGCTTTGGCCCGCCTCATGGTGAGCGAGAGATAGATGACGCTCTAGTCCACAGGGAGTAGGATGAAATTGTTCAGAAGATCCACACCAGTATGTTCTTGGATGAGGGGTTTTGCAACATCCAGCTTGGCGGGGTTGGTTTTTTTGAGAATTGTGTAGCCGTGGATTAGAGGTTCTGTCTTTCATCCCTTGAAGCGGGCCAAAGCAGCAGGGTTCGACTCCTTGGTAGTCACAGTGTTGTTTTGATAAATCCCATCGTTCGTGGTTACAATAAGTATATAAAAAAAAAGTCTGTCAGTTTTTTATTTTTGGGTATTTTATCCCGTTAATGTTATTATTGTCAGCATAATGGCACTGGTGTTTAAATTTTTATGAGTTTTTAATTGTTGACATTAGTTTTTGTAGATGTTGGTGTTTTTTCGTCACGAAAAGATAAATTTCCTTAAAATGAAAATTTTTAATGAAAAACCCCGGAGGTTTTCCATCTCAAAGACCCGTTACTTTGTCAGACTTTTTTTTTGGGGGGGGGGGGGGGTTTTTGGGAATATTTACACATTTTACTATGTATGGGAATTTATTATTTTTTTAGTGTTGTACCCAAAACCCGACCCCCCGGAAAACGGGCACTCGGGTTCCTTGGATAAATTTGATTACCTCTCATTCCCCAAGAGCTGTACGCCCTCTGGGAGTTCGAGAGTTTTCTGGTGAATTTAAAAAGTAAGCAAATGTTAAAAAACTTAAATTTTTAAAAACGTCCCAAAAGTGCGTTTGACTGAGATCTTTCCCCAGTGTCTGTCTTTGGGGGAGGTACCCTTCCCGACCTCCCCAGTTTGGTAACCCACGAAGTACCCTTTTTTGTCGTACCCGCTACCCAGGTACTGTCGGGTACACCTAATGTCAGTATGTACTCTCCTGTGTTGGTTGTAGGGGGCGATTCAAACTCCAAATTTATTTTTTTTTTTTTGCAGTAAAATAAAAAATGGTTTAGGTAAGGTTGGTCAGGAAACAGGACAAGTGTTTCCTGACGCGGGTCTTAGTTATATGATGACCCACAGCTGGAACTTTTGGTCATCTGACCGAGGTCTTCAACTGGCTTACCCCTCCACCCTGTCTTGGGAGTGTCTCGAGAACTATGTCTGCCATGGAAGGAGGTACAAGTACCTCCTCATCTTCCGGGACCAACTGTCCCCAGGCCTAGCCACATTCCCCGCCCTCACGGGGCTCGTAGGGAGAAGCTAGGCCTCTGGTCTGCCATCTTCCCCGCCCCAGGGGGGCTCGTGGGAATGGCAGTCTTGTGAGCTGCAGGTTAGGTTAGGTAAGGTTGGTCAGGAAACAGGACAAGTGTTTCCTGACACAGGTCTTAGTCAGATGATGACCCACCTTTATTATTATTATTAAAAATTCGCCGGTATTCTCCCGGCCCGGGCCTTTTCCAAGTGGTGGCCCGGCCTTGGCTCCCTCTCTAGGGAGTGTCTGAGACCTAAGTCTCCCATGAGAGGAGACACAAGTACCCCCTCATCTTTGGGACCAAGTGTCCCCAGGCCAAGCCACATTCCCCGCCCTCACGGGGCTCGTAGGGAGAAGCTAGGCCTCTGGTCTGCCATCCCCGCCCCAAGGAAGCTAATGGGAATGACAGTCTTGTGAGCTGCAAGCTCCGGCTCAGGCACCTACCCTACCCTAGAAGGGCTGGGCATGGTGTCGATGATGACCCACCTTTGGAGCTTTGGTCATCTGACCGAGGCCTTCCGCTGGCTTACAGGTCCACCCCTTAAAAAATAATGGTTATTTTTAACCAATTGATACATGAGCTGCAGATGGTAGCAAGATCGGCATAGTGTTATTATTATTACTATTAATTATTATTATTATTATTATTATTATTATTATTATTATTATTATCATCATAATGAGGTATTATTAACCATTAGGATGCAGTGAAGGTCAAGAAAGGGCTGAGCTTGCTACCATCTGCAGCTCACAAGACTGCCATCCCCACGAGCCCCCCTGGGGCGGGGCAGATGGCAGACCAGAGGCCTAGCTTCTCCCTACGAGCCCCGGGAGGGCGGGGACTGTGGCTAGGCCTGGGGACACTTGGTCCCAAAGATGAGGGGGTACTTGTACCTCCTCCCATGGGAGACTTAAGTCTCGAGACACTCCCCAGATAGGGAGCCAAGGCCGGGTCACCACTACTTGGAAAAGACCCGGGCCGGGAGAATACCGGCGAATAAAAAAAAAAAAAAAGAAAAAAATTAGGATGCGGTACATTCCTTATATTACATTTATTTACATTAGAGTTTCTTTATAAATTACAAATATAATTTAGCATTATATTTAATATATTTGATGTGCAAATACATCAGAACATTTAATTAATAAAACTTACCCTATTCCAGTCAAAATTTATAATTATTGGTGTTTTGGGACAGTTTCCCCTGAAGAAAACTTGAGCATGGGACAAGAGGCAGACAAGGGAGACTATCATCAACCTCAAACACCCCATTATTACGGTTATTTTCACCTGTAAGGAAAAATAGGGTGCATTTAGTTTACCCATGTTGGATTGTCTCCATGCAGAGGACAACATCGGCCCTCTTACTTTGTCAGTAGTGGGAGAATGTCCCTAGAAAAAATACTTTCACCTTTTTTTTTAGTTACCTTTAAATAAAACAAAACTGAAATAAACCAAGGATCCCCTGATAACTCACTTCAATTAAAAAATTCAAGCTTATTCCTATAAAGGTTACAATGTGGGTTACAGGTTTCGGGACGTGTTTTCAGAAAAAATCTACTTTACAGGGGGGCCCCCCCCTGATAATAAACCAAGGACCCCCTGATAATAACCAGAACCCTGGTAAAAACCAAGGACCCCTTGATTATTTAAACAAGGACCCCCTGGTAATAAACCAAAACCCCTCTGGTAATAAACCAAGACCCCTGGTAATAAACCAAGAACCCCTGGTAATAAACCAAGGACCCCCCTGATAATAAACCAAGGACCCCCTGAAAAAACAAAGACCCTGATAATAACCAAGAACCCCTTGGTATAACCAATGGACCCCCTCTGATAATAAACCAAGGACCCCCTGGTAATAACCAAGAACCCCCTGGTAATAAACCAAGAACCCCCTGGTAATAAACCAAGGATCCCCCTGATAATAAACCAAGGACCCCCTGGTAATAAACCCAAAGGACCCCCTGGTAATAAACCAAGGACCCCCTGGTAATAAACCAAGGACCCCTGATAATAACCCAAGGACCCCCTGGTAATAAACCAAGGACCCCCCTGGTAATAAACCAAGGACCCCCTCCTGGTAATAAACCAAGGGCCTACCTGATAATAAACCAAGGACCCACTGGTAATAAACCAATGGACCCCCTGGTAATAAACCAAGGACTCCCCATGGTAATAACCAAGACCCCTGGATAATAAACCAAGGACCCCCTTTTGGAATAACCAAGGACCCCCATGGTAATAAACCAAGACCCCTGGTAAAAAACCCAAGGAGCCCTCCTGGTAATAAACCAAGGACCCCCTGGTAATAAACCAAGGACCCCCTGATAATAAACCAAGGACCCCCTGATAATAAAAAAAGACCCCCCTGATAATAAACAAAAGGACCCCCCTGATAATAAACCAAGGGTCCCACTGATAATAAACCAAAGACCCCCTGATAATAAGCCAAGGACCCCTGGTAATGAACCAAGGACTCCCTCCTGGTAATAAACCAAGGACCACCCTGATAATAAACCAAGGACCCCCTGATAATAAACCAAGGACCCCATGATAATAAACCAAGAACCCCCCTGGTAATAAACCAAGGACCCCCTGTAATAAACCAAGGACCCCTCCTGGTAATAAACCAAGACCCCCTGTTAATAAACCAAGGACCCCTGTTGATAATAAACAAAAGGACCCCCCTGATAAGAAACCAAGGACCCCTCCTGGTAATAAACCAAGAACCCACCTGTAATAAACCAAGGACCCCCTGATAATAAACCAAGGACCCCCCTGGTAATAATCCAAGGACTCCCATCCTTGCAATAAACCAAGAACCCACCCTGTATTAAACCAAAGGACCCCCTGATAATAAACCAAGGACCCCTGATAATAAACCAAGGACCCCCCTGATAATAAACGCAAGGACCCCCCTGATAATAAACCAAGGACTCCCCTGGTAATAAACCAAGGACCCCCCTGGATAATAAACCAGGACCCCCTGATAATAAACCAAGGACCCCTGATATAAACCAAGGACCCCCTGGTAATAAACCAAGGACTCCCCTGAT